TGCTCTCTCACTCCCCTGAAATTGGAGGGCCAGATGGAAATGTTAAGGAATAAGCCCACTTTGCAGTTCACAGCGCTCCTTCCCTTGTAAACAGTTTTATTCAGTTTTTCAGAATCATGCAGCAATCCATAAATATTGCATCCTTGATGTCCCCACTGTAGTGTGTCCACAGGTGTACTCCAGGGAGTGAAGGGTACACAGATGGCACCAACAGTATAACACGCACACTTGCACACACCAGGTGTGCAGACCCTAAAGCAAAGTGAGCAGCCAGCATGCCAACACCATGGACAGGGTCAAACTCCCCAGGTGAGACGGCTGAACATGTGAGGGCCTGTGCCCAGATGCCCCAGCAGGGGTCTGAGCTCTGGTGGATGGAGCTGGGTAGCTGAAGGAAGTTTGTGCAAGGAAGCTGGATCACACCACCCAGAGGCCATGAAAGTGAGGACCTACTGCCGCAGGAAGGAGCCCCGGGCTGTTAGTCTGCGCTGTGGGAGGAGCCAGGGCTGTCTATCCTTGCTGGGTAAACTGCAGACATGACTGCCCCCGGATGAGGGACTGTGGCAGCTGACTTGCCCCAGATCAGGCCAAGGACCAAACCAGCTGGATGGGATATTTCTGCTTGCTGAGGAGATAAGTGGGAACAGGAAGGGAAGGAGGTAGGGACTGAGAAACACCAAGTCCTGGGCATTTCTAACCCTAGGTATGTCTCGGCTGTGGAACTGAGGCCTTGAAGAATCTCTCTGAGCCTCTTCCCAGGGGAGGACTGAGCACCTGCTTCAAGGAGGCAGGAAGAGAATGTCTCCCTCCTAGGGGTCCTGGCCACCATGGCTGCTGTTTACTTGACTCGCCTTCATCTCAGCTTCTTCCCCATCCTCCCAGGTAACACCGCACTGTAAATACCACCTGCTGGGAGAGAGCGGGGTGGTGGGGGTGTGTGCCACCACCTGGTGAAGGGAAGCTCCCAGTTGCCAGGTGCTTCTGGGGTTCATCCTTCAGGGAAATGGGGAAGTAGGGTTATTGCTCAGCTTCTACTAGTTTACACCTTAAATATGAGGGGCTGTAAAGGGCATAGGGGTGGGGTGGGGCCGGGACTCGAGTGTGATCTCAACCTCAGGCAGGACACGAGCCACAACACTAGCCCTGTGGCCACACTTCTGAGGCTACTGGCCTTGGAGATGGCCTTGAAAGGCTGCCCGAGGGTAGCAGCCCCATGCCTGGAGAGTCTGTGGGTGGACATAGCCTAAGGTGCAGCCAAATCGGCTTCTAACTTTGCTTCCCGAACACTCCCATGCCCCAGTAATTAACTGCCTTTTGCAAAAGCCAGTAGACCAAGGGCTGCGTGAGGGCCACTGACAGCCCCAGTGACTCACAGCCCAGCCTTGCCGTTTCCTGCTTTGGAAACTACTGGAATGGCGCCTCTAAATTGCTCATGAGCCCTGGAAAGCAGTCCCTCCCCCTTCACCTAGCAGGCTCCGAGGTTTTGAGGGCAGGGGAGGAAAAGCTGTAGGATTGGGGCGCGGGTCCTTGAGGTACAGGCCCCGACTGTAGTCCCCAGCTCCAGACCACCGCCGTTGGCCCCAGGGGCTGCCGGGACTTCAGCTCAGCACCCTCTACCACTTTCTTTGGGGATCCTGGTGTCCATTTGGGAAGGGCCCAGCTCACTTAGCCTATTTTTTCAACTGTTAACAAAAAGGAGTGAGGCCAGGGGCACGAGGGATAAGCGTACACCCCACAGTGATGCCAGGAGGCTAAGACGTGTCACAGGTCAGCTAACAGTGCCTGACACAAGGTGCGGTCAGAAGTGTGTTTCTGGAAACGTCTCCTTGGGGTAGAGTCCCGGCCTTCCTGGATGCACCTGACTGACCGAGAAATCCTCGAGGGTTCTCAGATCCGAGGGCTCCTGTCCACACAGACAGGCACCCCGAGCACAGGAGCCTGGCCCCGCTCCGAGGGAAGCGCTGTTTTCCAACCAGCCTTTCAGTTTTCACTCTTTC